CTGGGGGAGGGGGTGTGCAAACTACACATGAGAAAAGATACAGTAACTATGACAATGGCATTGCACAAGTGATGGACACTTTGTCAGAAAGCTTTGTTGTGTTTCCTTCCCTTTTTTCTGTGTGTCTGAAGCTTTTTCTTAAATGTATAAATTAAATGTGTTCAAATGGTTGCATGCATGAAATTATGTATATCTGATCTTAGCAATGATCTCAAGTTTAATATTTCCAAAGGTTTCAGACTTGAGCAGTAAGCAGCAATTAGCATTAGTATTTACTTTATGTGTATTTACATTCAGTACAATCTTTCAGCCAGGTTTAAAACAGTTAAGATCATGTCTTTTGGGCATAAAGGTTATTGCCTTTAGCTCAAATCTTTCTACCCTGTCCTGATAAACAGTCTCGCTTTTTAATCTAGGCATAGAAAGTCCCAGACATTCACATAAAATTTCATTTTCTTAATTTCATCATTTAATTCCTGAAGTAACTAAATTTCTCCATGTCAGCTATATATTCAACACTTACACATCAAATCCTTTTGTTCTCATGTAATATCCTCTATAAATTATTTTAATTTCACAAACATCATAATTATAATTACCAGAATAATGACACATAGAAATAAGGCTACTTGTCATGGTTTGCCCATTTAGATACCACGCAAAGTGAAAAACAGAAAAATGAGAAAAGATTTGGGCAGTCCAGATTTCAATTCAATTCAATTTATCAACATTTGATGGCCATCCAAGAGTAAAGTAATACAAGTAAGATCAAGACATATATATGAGTACATCACAAATATAGATTTTGATTAAAGTTCAATGAAGTAAAATAAATGTRTAGAATGAGTGCTCAAAATTGTTAATCCAGCCATCCCTTTCAACTCAACAAAAGCATTCAACAAATGCTCAACATTTCAAATTTTMACTGAGATTTTGAAASATYATGAAAGGTGAAATGAGTTTGCACCCCTGCAGCTTAAGCCAAGGTGAATGTCAATATTTAACTTAAAATACATAGTTACTGCAGCTAAAGTCAAGGTGAATGCCAAACTTTAGAACACATGTTGTCAAATTTTCACTTTAAGTAAGCTTATTAGTTGAGGAATTTTTGCATTGAAATGTGTATAAAATACAGTAAAATTTGTACTATGAACTTATGGCCTTGAAATAAATAGTGAGGGCAAAAACAAAGATTATCTTGTCATTTGTGATGCAAAAATTAAAACTTTCAATATTCTTCTCAATGAATTTGGTTTCTGTAAATAATTAAACATTATAGCTATACAAATATGAATTTCAAACAATGAACTTGATAGCACTGCATGTGCATTGATATTCATTAGTGTTATTTTGTGCAGGGTTYAATTTTCCAGAAATAAAAAGTTGAAGTTGAACCTACATTGTATAAAATGGTTAAATAAATGCAAAGTGCAGAAGACCTCGCCTGATATGAATTTTTGCGAACCATTATTGTGAATCTCAAACACCATGATAGCYRGGAGCAAAGAGGTTAGAGATCATTCTTTGGTCTATAAGTGAGATTCCTTCAATTGTTCCTCCTCATCGAACAAATAAACCTGGAAATGGAATATTTTAGAGCTTATTTAGAAAGGCAAACTTGATCTCTTTCCTGATTGGTTGAACAGCTGAGGAATGAGTGACAGAATATTACTYCTTGGTTTCTAGTTGTCATCACAAACATAATTAAAAAATCTGTAAAATCAAAATATTGTGGGGCTGTACCAAATGTAGAAAAATGTTGTATAAAATGATTTTATCTGAAACATCTTTTATATTAGGGTTATCATAATGAGCAGACATATGTGTACAAAAAAAGAAAAAAACACAAAGCAAACAGATGTTTCAGTCCCCAGARTACAATGCAACGTTCATTAAGAAATCTTGCATAGATTTAGTGTTAGTTCTTTCATGTTTTCAAACTTTCGTTTGTGTCTTCATGCAATCTATACACAAAGCATGCATTCAACACTATAGCGTTTTGGACATTCATTAACGCAACACATGTTTTAGTTTGYATACATTTTCTGTATGCTTTTATAGGATATTAACTGTCTTTGAAATGCTGTCTTTGCAATTTTAACAAGCTGTGAATATGACTTCTCACAAACAAAGTTTCCTTTAGACATCATCAATTTCCATTTCCTCTTTTTGGATAATTCCAMAGGCCCAACAGAGAAACTGATTTCAAAATGAAGTCTGAGAATACAAATACATTAAGTCGTACAACCATATGTAAACATACTTTCCAATCAATCAATCAATCAATTCCAAGAAGGAGTCCAAGGTTAAATGTAATTTTTTCTTTTTTTGCTTTTGAAATTCTGAATTGTAATAGCACAATATTGTTCTCACAATGTGAAAATTAATGTCCGAAACATTGTAATTGAATACTTGTTTTTGTTTATTGGTTGCACAAAAACACAATGAAAGCTTGAAAATGTCAATGAGTTCACACAAACATCTTCCTGATTGTCAAAGTTTAACTCTTGCCTTGTTGTATGCCTGTTGGCCCTGCTATAATGACAATACATCTTTGCTTAAACGAAACTAATCTTCCTTTTCAGTTAATTAATAAACAACAAAAGGTGTATATTTTGTTGCATTTAGTAAAAGAAAAAGAAAAAAGTTTATAAGCATTTTGGCTAAAGGYTATACAAAAAGATACATGGCATGGACCGGACAAGCTTGTTATAGTGACCTTAATAACAAACTGTTAATAGTAATCTTATCTTCTTGAACTAAATATGGATGAGATGTATTCTAATTCTATTATCAAGCTAATTTATGCTGAAAGATAGAAAGAAACATTGTACTATTCCTAGATAATCCACAAAACATAAAACAATGAACTACAGTTCTACAAATAAGGCATAAAGCAAAGCAAATGCATAGAAAATCTGGATATTGTGATTGACACTCTGTTAATGGGCCAACATAAGTGTGCTGACCTTTAATCTGATTGGTCTACTAAGCAATCACCTGACATATAATATTATTTTGTGTCTATGCATATAATTACATTTGCCCTCTCTTGGACTACGGGYTTGTTAATATTTCCTAAATACAGCAAGAAATTAGTACACAGCTTGAGAACTTAAAATACTGTTAGGTGTCTGATATAACTGAAAACTATTTTTTTTTATTTTTGTACAAATTCTTGAACAAATAGTAAAAAAAAATTGTCACCTTACCCGTGGTGAGGATTTTAGCTTATCGAAGAACTTTTTAATTGATTTTGAAAGCATGCGAGGCGACTGTTTCTCACAAACAAATAGCTAAACGGACAAGTCTTTTCTTGCACGTATTTTCTTTGTCGCTGTTCAACAACGCGTTGCAGCCAACAGAATATKYTTACTGACCTGAATGTACTTTAGAGCGCTTCTTAGAATGTTCAAATTGGAGGTTTTCTTCTCTTCTAATGTTGGGACTTGCTTTTTGAGAATATCAAAACATTCTTTCAAATGTGCTCGTCTGCAGTTAGATAGAAAATGCTGTCAATCTTACCGGGAGAGAAGGTCAAACGCACATGTATGTCAACCAAAAATATTTTCGCAAACCCAAACCAATTTGATGGCCTACATKTTTATGAGGATAAAATCATGATTATTTGGTGATAATTGTGGTTGAATAAGTGAAAGAAAATACACATAATAAKGTACTAGATGACCAATTTTGTCGCCTGAGATATAAAGATCAAAGCGAAGTCATCCCGCCAAACAAGTTCATGTTCACGACACGATCAGTCGTTTCATTCTCAAAAACATTTATTCCCCTTGATTCATCGCAATTCACATMATCCAAAACACTAACCTGTTCTTTTCTAGCTTATTGTGAGTTTCTCTTGTACCAGCACTAGGAAAAGCAGAAAATTTTGGTCARATTCACTGCACAGTATGATAACCACAACACAAAACACACAGAAAGAAGCAAAGAAAGCTAACCCTCCTGGTCTTCTACGTCGTTCACTTGCGTCAGATTCCGAGACAACTCGTCGTCTATCCACYAAARCATTGCTAGAAAGGTTCCCTGTATATAAAGATAAAATTTGGTTGCATTGATTTTGAAATCAGTTGGCGAACAGCGAAGGCAATCGAAGAATCGGTTCAAAACAACTGCTGCCAAAATTGCACATGGCTACTGGAACATACCACGTGGATTCGAGGTATTTTCCTTCTTATTTGGCCCAGATGACGACTCCACAAACTCAGCTGCTTGTAGAAGTGTTTCTAAACTCATATTTCCACTGTGACGATGTTTTAAATCTTGCTGGAATGACTAATGGGCTTATTTTTACCCCCTTGTACGTCCTCCATAGGCCATGTGCAGTCCTTTCCCAATAACAACACAAACGCCAACAAAGATCTGCAATCGTGCAGGAACGTTTGATGATTGACTGGAGATGACTTCAGTTGACCAATCAGATGCCAGTAATTGTGTTACACGTCAAATATGTGCGACTCACGTGGCTAGTCGAGTGATGTGGCGTTTGGTGGAGGCGAGCATTTGGGAGTGGCTCTAAACTGGAAATTTTGTCAACTATAAAGACTATAAATGATGAGCTTTTATAGGATTTCATGTTGTGMCATATGAAATTAATAATGACAATAAAGAAAATAATAGTTCGTAATACATTGTGATCCGAGCTGTCAAAGTACATCCCGTGACCGGAACCAATAAAATGGCAATTCAGAAAGTAATTTGTGGTTGCATTGGTTTGAATTGTCACGAGCTTCTGATTATTTAGGTTAAATGTTTACAGATATACATTAAATCGATTCATTGGTTCCTTATTTTAATAGTATAGGTATATAATAACTTTTCGTAGTGCATTAATGAATCCCTGTCGTTTTGTTGTTATCAGCTATCTTTCCCCAAGAAATATACCTTTAAATGTAAAATTACTTGATTTGTTTAATTTGAGCATAGYGTGAAAATGTTATAGAACTTTTGTCAAAAATATTTTTTTTTATCGACTCTCCCCTGTCCTCTCCGATGGGTTTGCTTTGTTTTGTATTCGGCTCTATTTGCATTGTGGGTAAACTGCTCCAATGAACAAAATGGCCGACGAAAAACAAATTTCACCTGCCTAGATACGCGAGTAGCGTCTTTTATTGATAGATAAAGGTGCATGGTTAAAGGTAAATACTTWTTTTAATATTTAAGTTTATTTTGACTTTATTTCCAGAAAAATCACATCATGAGTGGGTACATTTTTAAGGAAACTTAAGAAAGCTTTGCATGCATGACGTACATGCATAGTATGATATTGTTCGTGTTTTATAGAGATTCGTGTAATATGTCTTTTGTCCCTGGTGGTAACATCATTAACTGATTTATTTGAGTTTTCAATTAACTTTATGTGTTTTTCACAGACTGCAATCATGTTTGAGTGTAGATGGTTCAAGAACCTTAGCAACTTTGCGACAAATCGTCCTCCATTCGTTATTTTTACTTTTTGTCTTTCGATCTTCGCTGCTGGCTTATTTTCTATTGGTTATTATGTCCAATCTCAAGGATTTGACCAAAATCCGGTAAGTTTGTTGTTGTTAGTAGCATTGTTTCAACGAAGAACTCATGTTTTAGATTTGTTTGTCAGGGCAGACCAGTGAGCAGGGGGGAGGTGGGCAGGGGGAAGCTGCATCAAATTATGTTTTTGAAGTCCCTCAAAATGCTGGAAACCACATTTCCAAGGTTAAAAATTTCACCTTTTGGTGGTTCCTAGGCCCCCAATGCTCCATGGTCCTGTATAATACAATAATTGAATGCTACTTTGACTTAATTTACTAGCTATACAGCACTACAGTACTCTCTTATTTCATAATGCTATTTTTTTTTCATACTATTTACAGGAATGGAAAGCATTTTCCAGCCATATCTCAAATAAAAAATTCTGCATGTTTTCTGAAAATAGTAGTATGAACGTCAATGTTACTAATGACACCTCATCAACAAGTTCCTCCTTGGACTACATCCAGGTTTTTWTACCAGTGCTGTTAAAGTTCTTGCCCTCGACACTGTACACTGGCTCTTTTGAAAATATCTCTCATGTGACAACCCTTGTGAGGGGGTCTGAACTAGGCTTTGAGGGGCTTCTTTCATCATATCAAGTCAACTTGACTTTTGTTTTGGATAAACCATGGTCAATGTCTTGTTCCTCTTCAAAATGTTCTAACTTGGCATTTAGTTCCTGTGCAGCTGTAACGTTACCCATGAGAATGGTTCCTAAGAAGATGTAAGTTTATTTATACAATGGYGTCATATAATAATTATAGTGAAGTATTGTTTATGGAYATGAACCTGCAGCCCAGTCATTTGCAGCTCTGGGAAACACTTTAATTTGTCTAATTGTTCCAACTGAAAAAATAGCCAAGCTCTGTTAAGAAAATGAGAATCAGAAKTCAGATTTATAGRGTTTACCAGWTCCTYTGCAAGTGTTTACTCTAAAGTTCTGAATAATTGTACAGAKTGGAATAAGGGTATACAGTYGAAAAATCCAAATAAACCAATYATTTTTTGACAAAAAGTATTKCAGTACCAAYAATTTCCTTCTATTTATAAGCAAAGRCGCTAGCATAGAAACAATCCAGTACTCTTGCCTCCAGTTTTCCCTGAGCTGGGAAATGTTTAAAAAATAAATTATTACATATATTATATACGATTATAAGGAACTTCAGAGTAGTCGACATAATGATATAAGACAACATGGCAGATTAGGTTTTTTTATACAATAGGTAAAGAGTTATAAATTAAAATCATTTAAATGCCCAGTTGATTTAAAAATGGTTATTCCATCTCAGGCTTCATTTMTCWTGCAACAAGACTGAGGTGGTGAAAATGGTGTCCATGTCTAGCTTAAACCAATGTACTGGMCATCATTGCTGTTATGATGGAGTTGTTGCAAAAGCTTCTTTACCCAAGTATTATCAAGAAAACAGAGCAGAGTCCCCCTCTGAAATGGGCCTGGTAAGAAAAATTATTGTAAAAATCTCATTTTTGTCAAAGTACCTCAAGCTAGAAGGAAGTCATGAATGATTGTTTTCTTGTGAGATATATTCAATGTAAACTCATCAGCATTGATAAATTAGGGTGTGGMAGGGTTCTTGCTACTCCTTGAAAAGKCCTGGAATCGAAAAGTTGTTTTTATACTTGAAAAGCTCTTGAAATCAGAGAAAATGGCTAAAACTCCTGCTTTTAAGCTTTTGGATTGAAATGTGGCTATTTTTGAATATTGCTACTGGAAATGTTKGCAACCATCAAAAAATATCTTCAAAAATAGTCCTTGAAAATCACTTTTTTGTGCTCAAAAAGTACTTGAGAAGTCCTGAAATTTTGTAATGAAAATGTAACATGAATCCTGGCATGGGTACCAGTTGCCAACAAGGATGCATTTAATATGTAAGGATGAGGAGTTTTTGCCAGCTGGGCATAAGATGCATCTGCAATCCATCAGTTGGGTYATAAATCCAGACATATGAAATTGGAAATATGAAGGTSCTCAACACCAATGCTCTCTTGAAAAACCACAACCGAACCATAATGCTGAGGAAGGCACAAGGACAAACTCACAGGCACTACTGCTGAAGAAATACAAACTCACCCAAAAAGAGATGACAACCAAYAGGCCAACATCAGCATACACATGCAACTGATACTTCACTCTTTAATTTTTAGTCATATAGCAAATGTTACTTGTTAAGATGACAGTCTAATGATTCATGATCAAATAAGGCCTGCTACTACTATTAAAAACTCATAAATGTCAAAATCAATGTATAATGGTTTATTCTTTTTTCCACGCAGAATGATTGGGCAACAGTCAACCTAAGACTGCAGTATTCAAGCTACTTTCTATTTGTTCTTGCCATYACCTGCATCCTTTATGGGATGATTAAAGGAAGGTCGATAAAGTCATCAAAGAAGGGAAGTCCTGGACAATCTATTTAATATATAAAACTAYACAAATAGGATGAAATAGATRTAAAAGTGGAAGGCTTAAAAGTGTGGCCACTGATAATATAATTGCATACTTCTGTCTCACCATCAATCTAATTAGTGTCTTGATCAAGATAATAGACGAGGTGATTGGGTAAATACATGTAGCAAGACAAAAGTATGAGAACACACATTTAACAGTGGACACACTTTTATGTGTTGCTCTGTAACTATGGAAAACATTGTTRTCATTGGTACAACTTTACCTTAAGCTTAAATTATCATACATTGTGCTCTTATTTCTAATTCATTGGAAAAAAACAGGCTACACAAAAATTAGTGAATCAGTTGAGTACTAAGTTAAATTGGCTACAACCAATTTCTATTAGACCATTTCTTAAAGTGTAAAACAATGTAAATTGCATATGAGGTATATAATTTATGCAAACAATGTATAAAAGAGAAATCGTTATTGAATAGCCGACTTGGTATTTTGRTTCAGTGACCATRCACRAAAGAATTGCAGACAAAGCTCCAGGGAAATAAAAGATTAAATCAAGAATTTCCAGTGTTTTCCCAGAGCCTTGTGTGCATTCTTTTGTACGTAGTCTGTCGAACCAAAATATCAGAAGTTGACTATTTGGTTTTCGTGATATCCAAAAYAGCTGTAGCAAGGCTTGAGGAGTGAAAAAATCTCATCTTTGACTATAAAGTAAGTTATTTGTCAAGTTAAGGTTTTTTATCGAATCAGTTATCATTATGAAAATTAAATAAAATCAACCCACAAAATAGCTAGATGACATCAGTACTTTTAAGGTGATTTCTGTTGAGTGAAGTAGTACATAACTTATTACCAATTAACTGTATTAATAATATAACAGTTATAAAGAAAGTAAAGAGTTCATTATGAATTCAATATAAGTTTTATTTAACCAATTTCATTTTATAGCTTTGAATTCAATGATTACAAAGGTATTTCTCTGCTCTGGCCCCCTTAACAAAGGTGGTGTACATGATATAGGTGTCTTCATGATCCATTTTAAAAACAGCTCTAAAATGTATGCATTAATTGACTTAGGAGTTGATTTTTGACTGTCCCAATMTCTATAAACCTGCATGACATTCAGAAACTGACCTGAAAAGGTGTAGTGGCAGTTATCAAAGTCTGCCAAATGTATGTAACACATATGTAACAGAAACGTATGTAACACAATTCTTGGTATAGCATTCCCCTCCTTTCAGAGATTTTTGCATACATTCATCAATATGTTGTGTCAAGTTTTATATTTATTGCTTTAATATAGTGTAAAGTAATWTGATCATTGCTAAAATACTAATCAGTTCTTGAACAGTTGAGGGTTTAYGTCATAAGCCTTAATAGGCTGCTCAACATGTGGGACTCCCACAACTGGGACTTAGTGTTGTATTGTAAAATAGTAATATAATTTCAACATTGATATAAAGTTTGTCGTTGATACAAAGTTGGCTTGTTGTCAATGTTTTGTTTCTTGATAACTTCCCCCTATTTTGATTATTTGAAGCCACAAATGCCCAAAGGAGTCTTTAGGGTTTTTCATAGTAATGTTACACTCCTTAAATTATAACAAAATTTAATTATCACTCTGATGTAATGGAGTGCAAGAACTACAAGCATGAAAAAGTACAAATACTACAAAAAATCACTGCTCATGTTATGAGAAAAACATTTCTATTGCAATCCAGGCTTAAAAGGACAGAAGCAGGCAAGACTGAAGTATATATATTCAATTGAGTTCAGATATTCATATTACATTTTAGCCATAATAGATTTGCAACAAACTAAAGAAACTTTTAGTTAACAACTATCTTGAGTACATATAGGTATATTATTATTACAGGCTTTGTGCTGCATTTTCACTACAAAATTCTAGGACTTTTTAAGTACTTTTAAAGCACAAAAATGCCATTTTCAAGGACTGTTTTTGAAGAGTTTTTTGATTAAATACTAGGTTTTGCTTCTTCTACGTTAAGTTAAATTAAAAAACTTACATAGAAGCAAAACTTAGTATTTAAACAATGAATCCTACAGCATTTTGCACAAATTATGAGACATTTCTATATATATATAAATATACAGCCTTTTGCACAAATTATGAGACATTTTTATATATATAAATATACGTAACCAAATATCAAAAACACCCAAGAAATTATGGGATACCGTCGCTGATATTTTGTCTGTAACAACCTGATGCTAGGCAATCATGACAAAATATCAGCGACGGTATCCCATAATTTCTTGGGTGTTTGATATTTGGTTAGGTATATTTATATATATAAAAATGTCGCATAATTTGTGCAAAAGGCTGTATGTACGATAACATTTTAACATGTCAATTTTATCAGATTCAAGTGGTTTTCCAGGAGGACATAATTTGTGCAAAAGGCTGTATGTACGATAACATTTTAACATGTCAATTTTATCAGATTCAAGTGGTTTTCCAGGAGGATTTTCCCCATTTTCAAGGTTTTTTCAAGCACCGTTGAAAATGTGTTTTCAATTCCAGGAGTTTTCAAGGATTTCAAGGAGAAGCACGAACCCTGTTATTAGTTTCTTCATCAAAAGAGAAATATGGTCACTGTGTTGACTTCATAAAGTAGGTGAATCCACAGCCAATGGACAATTTACAACATCTAGTGTAAAAATCTGATGCATGCTCAACCTTGTGTTTAACGAAAAAAAAAATTAAAATTACATGTACCCGACGTTAGCCTAAAAAATGAGATAATTGCTTCAAAACAATGAAATGCATTTGTGATATGGTTATCGCATGTAAAGGATTTCTTATTTGATAATATAAAAGAATTATAGATTTATATTAACTGTCAACAATAAATATAATAACGTGTCTTTAGTGCATCCAAGTCTATCATACACAGTTGAATCGCCAATAAAATATATCTACCCTTTGGTAGAGTTACATTTGAGACAAGGCTCCTGAATGGACAAGACCATCTAACATAATATTTTCATCCTCTTTCAAAAACATTTCTCAATAATGTCAACTTTAACAAAGCAATTTCACATTTTTGCCAAAAAGCGGATTTTCAAATTATTCATTTTTTAGTAAATAATTATAGTAATAATTAACATCTATCTCTTAACATATCTTTGACATTTTGTTACTTTTGGATCTCGTTTCTGGATGGAAATGTCCATAATTTGATTCCTTCAAATAATATGCCCTAAAGGAACACAAAAGTTTACAAAATTATATGAGCTGACTACAAGCAGGCTACAATCCTAGGACAAAAAGAGTTGAGAATGTTTTAAAAATCGCTGAATGTTGGAATGTCTCTGTATACTTTCTGTTTTTTTTTTTTCTGGCCTCCCCCGGTTCCCCTTCACTCAAAGTTGCATTTTAGAGAGCACACATACTTGCTGGATTCTGTTTGAGTGCTAACAATGTATTGGGAAAGGAGAGTKGGTAGAGAGGATGAACTGACTTTAAGGGTGCAGTTATTCTCAACCTTTTTGTCAAGGATTGTAGCTTAATAATAAACTTGAAAATATTCTAGACTTGCATTTCCCCCCCTGAAACTGCACAGTAGGACACAATTGAAATTGCCTAATCCCCCTCCTCCTACCTCCCTAAAAAATCTAGCTAGTGCTTTCTGCTTACAATACCATCTGCCAAGTGGAGATTCAACTCTACCTTTAAGAAATCTTTTAAAATAAACTAAAAAGCTATAAACTGCTAAATTGCAATTTTGTAAGTTTCATGATAACAGTTGAAATTATTATATTCAATTTTCTACACAATATGGTTATACATATGTAGTAGAACAGAACCCATTATCTCTTTAGATTTTATTCTAGTCATTTGCTAGACGAGTGAATCTTGTAACACCATTTGGYAAAGGTCCCGACACATCACAGATRATGTCTCCAGTCTTTTGAAGTCCCTCCAGCCGTAATGACACAGGAATCCATTCTGAATTTACTTTACAGAATTGCAACTCCAAGACYCCTGTTAGTTGGGGACCAGCTACAATACATACTATACACCATTCCAACGATCCATCTTTCTTCTTGTCATTCATCTGTTCACCCAGAAGGTTTATTTTTAATTCTTCTGAGCCAAAATGTTGGTTCTTTTCAAAGTATCCAATCCACGACTTTCCTATGTATCCAATCAAATCAATTGGACCTCCAAACTTCCTCATAATTCCTTCTTCAAGCCTAATTTGGTTCACAGCTTTGATCAATGCTGTGGACTTCTCGCCTATCTCCTTGTTTCTACTARCTTTATCGGYATCTTTTGAAACATCAAATATGGCAAAGATACGATCATTCGTCATACGACTATTTTCATCTTCATTATACTCGTAATCATCTTCTTCTACTTCAACTTTAATCAAACCAAGTTTGTATCCAGCATACACAACAATTGGTAATGTCCAAAAAAGTCCTCCAGTTATCAAAAATAATATTCTTGTTATTTTCCAAAKATTTTTCTGTGTTTTATCCATTCTATCCGTCTCTGATGCAAACTGTCTTGAGTTTGCACCGGTTAATAATTCAAATGGTTGTCCTGTCCTTTCATGACGAACTTTGGGAGTGAGAATTTTCTGTCGTGGAAGTTGTCTTATATGACGATTTCCAGTCCATGGTCTTGTCCTGCAAGCTAAATATTTAAATAATTCTCTTCTGAACAAACTTGACATGTTTTAACCAGTTATTGTAGTGAATTAAGCACACTTTACGAGACACCGAATCGAAACTGGATGGCCTTCCTCTTCCRCAAAATGTCAATGCGCCTTCGATTCTTTAGTTCAGCAGTGAGTCACATGAGTATCACTTTCCAATATGGCGACTGGACATTTGTCAAGTGGACGAGTTAACGTTGGACTTCTCCGAGAATGCAGCCGCAGAGATTTACTAATGTGTCTAGATAAGCATCCTGGGAGCAAGGTCAGTCTTTTGCCTTTTATCGATAAAATTTGTTCAAAGTTTTCACCTCGAAATCTCAAGTTCAAAATGGTTTCAAGTTTCTAAGTAACTTATCTGTTTTTATGCAGGCTATAGTATGGGATGACAAATTAACTGGACCATTTGGTTTGATAGCTGAATATCAGCTTCTTAAGGTAATAATTTATTATTAATAAAGACTGGTGGTAAAAATCCGCAGAATCCCGAATTATGATCGTGAATCAGATGATGACAGTGGCAAAATATGAGACTAATGACTATGGTGATCGGACGAGTCACTCAAACTAGTCATTTGTGAGATTTTTATCAACATAGCTAAATAAATGAAATGAAATAAAAACAAACTTCTCTGCCTGTCTGATGTATTTTTCTTTGCATTGTTGCTGTGTTTACACAGAAATGCTAAGAAACGTGCAATAGAGAGGTACTTAGCGAGTTTCATTTTACTTTCATTTATTTAGTTAGAGTGGATTTTATATGACTGTGCAATGGCACAGATCACAACACGGACATGGCAAGTCACGGAATCTCRCCTTCTAGGATTCCAAATAAAAATGAAGATTTAACAATACATCGGCGCTATAGCACAGTACAGCCGCAGCGCGAAAGTAGCATGTTTTTTGCACAGTCATACGAAATTCACTCTATTATAGCTAAAACCTCACAAATGGCTGTTTGGGCTACCTGTGGTTGAGTATGTTGCAAAAATGCAGATAATGGCATCTTGATATTGCAATTTTGCAAATTGTTTTGATGGCAAGCATTTCACTTGTRCACTGAATTCAAGAATGTTTGGTTGCCCCTTACAATTTGTTTTTCCAAAATTCAAAACAATGCCAAGAACATGCATAAAAATAGTCCACCCATTAAATGAAAACTAAACCTTACCATTTGAACTACAATTGCAAAAACATTCACTTTGGGGACAGTGACCTAAAGATTCATGCAGTCTTTGTTATTTTTTCAAGTGTCAAACGCTTGCCACTCTGTAATAATTTATCTGAATATGCTCAAAATACGCTCAGGTGTGCTAATTATAGCATGCCCTATCTTATCATAAGTTTTTTAGCTTACTTCAAACTGCTTCCAGTTTGTGGCTAGTCACCAGTCCTTTAATGGATATTTTCAGAATGACATGATTTCCAGAATTGTGATAAACTAATAGGATGATAGTAGTTGATATTAGGATGCAATAAGATTTTGACATCAATATCAAATATTGTCAAATGTAATTAACATTATTTGTTCTGCTCTCTTGAAATTTAGGAACATGAAGTCGAAAAAATGTTTCAATTACGACCTGGACGACTGCCGCCAAGCCAAGTCGTCAATATTATTTTCATAACTCGACCTATAACATCACAAATGGACAYCATTGCCGAAAATATTTTAAAGTAAGAGTCATTCAGAGACAAGACCACTTTCTCCCCCARTTTTGAAACAAGTAATCTTAAAAAAATAACCATGAAAGAGCCCAGAATTGTATTTCTTGATTAATGAATTTCGTTTTTTATTAAGCATTCCTCGTCTCTTACTACTGCATATGGTGGTTGTGATTGCAGACATAAAAAAGTCAAACTGGAAAATGGAAAAAATGACCCCTTTCCCTAGCAGTGTTTTCCTTTGATATAAAAAAAATACTTTTTTTCTACTGATTTTATAATGCTTCTTACAGAGAGGAAGAGAAAGGTAGCAAGAAAGATTACCACATCATGTTTGTTCCTAGAAAAAATATTTTGTGTGAGAGAAGATTACAGGTGATTTAGAATCTTTGTATTATTATTTTGGTATTTTGATATTCTAACTCTACTTTCCCTATTTCTCTGTTTGTGTATTTTGCCATTTACTGAAATTTCCAGAAAATGCAATCTCCTGGGTCTCTAAACCCTCCAGGTCAGCACTCTTTCCGTGCCTGTCAGTCTTATTACAGGGAAGAAACTCTAGAAGACTAGAAGCCTATGCTTGAATTTTCATAGTTTGTTTGGTTTAAAAGGAGAAATCTTGGTCAGAGTTTTAAAAAACAGGAGCAACAGCATTAGCAGCATATTTGGTCATTTGAGTTGGTCACAAATACAGTCAACTCTCACTATTACGAACACCCTTGGGACCGTAAATTAGTCTCTGCAGTAGCGAGAGTCCGTAGGAACAAGAGTTACTTTCAGTCATATCTTTCGCCGGGGATTCAGTATTTTACTGTCTGCAATATCGAGGTGTCCATTGTGGCGGGGTTTCCRTAAGGCAARAGTTGACTGTATTTACAAAACAACAAACAACAAGTTCTTTATTTCTTGATTATTTTCATTTTCGTTCCTATTTCCATTTCCTTTTTTCTATTTCTATTTATGGTATATTATTGATGCTAAATATTCTTCATATTTGGTTCTTTAGGAACTTGGTGTTTTATTTGCAAATATTGAGGAATACCCATTAGAGCTTATACCACTTGACAATGATGTATTGTCCTTGGAAATGGAKTCTTGCTTTAAGGTAGATTTTTCACATCAACTTACACAAATTTGGTCGTTTGAGAAGGCAATRCTATGCCAGTCCCWCTTAAAGACGTTTTCATCTATTTGTTTATAGGAGTGTTTCATTGAAAATGATTTCACATCACTTTACTATGTTGCCAATTCACTAATGAGTTTGCAGCTTATCTATGGAACCATACCAAAGATATACAGTAAAGGCGACATGGCCAAGGTTAGATCRCTTATAACCATAAAGTATAGTATTTATTTAAGAGATAAAGTAGGGATTGCTTTGTGTCACTTCTCATATCAATAAAATCTTTCATAARATCTTACCAGCTCACTGGATACAAAACCTAATGAATGCTGAAACCGCTGTCTATTCTAGTTGAGATATCAAAGGCTTTCAACGTTTGTTTCAATGTTGAATGGCAATGTTGAACGCCTTTGCGAAGGGCTTTGAAAAAAATTCTAACACTTTGAAACTGATTCAAGATTAATTTAACACGTTTCAACAACTTCCTCAAAACATGTCAAAAAGAACCTGTCTTTAATACTACAATTTTGAAACGTGTAGAAAGCTTGCGCAAACGCGTTCAAAATTGGCGATCAACAAAGTTGAACAAATGTTGAAACAAACGTTGAAAGCGTTTGCGCCGTTATTTCATAACGCATGTCCATCTAAATGTGAATTACTTTTTTCCCTGATTTTAGCGTGTTCTTGATATGGTTATGAGAAAGAAGAGAGAAACGGCTGATACACCAAACCAACAACCTCCTCAGATAGACACTGTCTTACTTATTGATCGGGCTGTGGATTTACTGACYCCTCTCTTCACACAATTGACTTATGAAGGACTTATTGACGAGCTTTACGAAATACATAACAGTATGTGSCGTATAATTTATTGTCTCAATAATTCGTTAGTCAAGGGCGGATCCAGGTGAGGTGCTTGGGGTGCGCACGCAACCTCCCTTTTTTAGACGACGTAATTTTTTTTATATCAAAAAACTTTTTTTTTCTGCTGTTTATACTCCTGTTGTACTTTTATCGAGAAAACGAGTAGCATTCACAACATGCCGTGTCTGCCAATATGCTGCTTAACAATGTATTTGAGTAGTCAGTAGGTTCAAAGATACGTTGCAATAAAAGTCAATTTATTTTCTTGCTCTAGACAATACACAGATAACAAAAATGATCAGTTCCATCTGCTGTACTTAGTTTTTAGCTAAATATTACTGACAAAAGCACTCCACCTTATAAAATGCTGCATCCGCCCCTGTTACTTTTCCGCAAAATTTATGAACTGCTTGTCTCCGTAGCAACCGCAAAGTTTCCCCCAGAAAAATTTCCTGCACCAGAGGACAAAGGGCCAGGGACTTCTCAGCAGCCACCAGGTCCCAAAAAAGTCGTCTTGAACTCGGGAGATGAATTATTCTCCGATATACGAGATTTGAACTTCTCGGCTGTTGGGCTACAGCTGAGCAAGAAAGCAAAGCAAATCAGTGCTGCTTTTGAGGTGCGTTTTGAAACATCTTTGTCCTTTTCAAACCGTTGACAACTTTAGTGAGATCTAACATAGATAATCTCCCTGACATTAACTACAAAGCGTGCTAGACCAATTGCTATATCTCTCCTTAAACTGATGTTATTGTAGGTCCACCTTTTTCACGAGAATACAGATGAAAGTCTAATAAGGTTTGCATTTTGTTSTTGTGCAGGAACATAAGAGCGCYAAAACTGTCGGTGAAATGAAACAATATGTACAAAAACTTCCTTACATGCAAAAAGCAAAGGCTTCGCTCGCCATACGTGAGTACAAMTTCTTTGAATGTTCTTGATTATGACCGTTCTTTAGTAGTCTTGTCAACATAATCATTGTGTTSTTGCACYTACCAGACATGTCCATTGCTGAGCTTATCAAAGAAAAGACAGACGACGAATAYCATGATGGGTTTCGTGAAGATATCMGGATAGAGCAGGAGTTTGCGCAAGGCATGGACACAGATAAAGTCAGTCCATACATTGAAAAATACATCGCATTAAAGAAACCACTKCAAAAGGTTTGATAACAAGATGAGATCTTGTATATGAAAAAATTGATTTTTCTTTTCTTCATGTTTTTTTTATCTATCCTAATGAGATATATTGTTCTAATACAACGCTGTTGACAATGGCTGTTGTTGCACCGTKTTGWCAGGGCGTAATTCACTAACGTTGTTTGTCTTGGTAGGTCTTACGTCTAATGTGTATGCAGTGTCTCTGTAATAATGGTTTTAAGCCCAAAGTACTCGAATACTACTTCCGAGAGATACTACAGGTCGGTATCATTTATATCGGTTTCCTAATGATTGGGTGATAAATCAGTTATTGCTTTTATGAGATTTCGGTTTGAAACTGAGTTCATTGGAAATGTTGGCAAAATTATCAGCATAACAAAATATCTCGAAACCAAACTCATTTTGCGGGAAAATTGACAAAGTATCTTATGCTTTTACATAAGTGTTAGAATGACTACTTCCATAGGAAGATTTTTACTTGGATTGATCAAAAAAGTGAAAAAGAATTACCAGCACATTGATGAATAAATAATTTATTGAATAAATTGATCACTTGGAAGAATGCAAAAAAAATTAATGGATGGATGAATAAAGAAAGGAATTCTGAATGTTGAATGAAATAAGAAAGAGGTTTCTCCGATAGGACTTCTGAGTAACTCCTCGATTTTCGGGAGGGATGTATTTTGATATAGAATTTAAAAATTCTAGTCTAKCCTATGACATTCATCAATCGTTTTCTTCTTGTCTGTAGACATATGGCTACGAACACATGTATCGAACTCTAACTCCTCTCCAGACTGCCGGTCTTCTCAGACCACAGGGAGCCCGCACATACACCGCTATGAGAAAATCAATCAAACTTTTTGTTGAAGACGTTCGCGAACAGGTAAAGAAAKCACTACTTTATGTCTTTTATACCAATCGACTAGTTGGTTCTACAGAACCGTTTAGCACGCTTTTATTCTTTTGACGCTTGCAGYGTTGCAGTGTTGTAGGCATGATCATTTCTCGCATTTTTCGGAGGGATGTTACTGAATTTCTAACAATTGTCAATAGGAGGTCAAGCGCAGTGCTCTAAAAATTGAGCTATCACCTCTAATTCAACTATTTTAAGTCTGCTGTACAACTTTTATTTTCTTTAAATTCAGAAACCTGACGATATYGCTTACGTGTACTCGGGCTACGCACCGTTAAGTGTTCGTTTAGCACAATTCTTATCAAGACCGCAGGGCTGGAGAGGTCTTGAAGAGGTTAGTCAGTCATGATGGTGATTGTATTAGTGATATACAATAATAATTGATAGGGTGGTGATAMGGGGCTTTTCAAGGATGGAGATGGGGGAGTGAACCAACATACCAGCATGATCAAGYAATATTTAATGCTCTGCACAAAAGATATATGTGGAGAGGCGGGAAAACAAATTTCTTTAGC